GGAATGTTACAACTTTTGTTTTTTTTCACGCATTGCTACGGATGTCAAAATTTACGACTTGGCAACGTTTCATCTACTTTGTGCTTGAAAGAATCAACTGTGGGCGCAGAAACGTGAGATAGCAGAGAATTATAAATACTGCAACTGAATGACGCCGGCATTCTAGTTTTAGAGCACTTATTTGAATGAGTGACCCTTGATGTGAATGTTGAGCGACAGGGCGAGCAGTGAACTACACGGATGATCAGGGTCGTATGATACACTAAAACCAAGTGCCCTCGAATTCGATAGTTCTGTGTAAATTACAACCCCAGTGATTTTGGTCCGTCCACACGTTTTCGAGTGCAGTCCCTTGACCATTTTGGTGGTCATTCGATGTGGACGTTAAAGAATCTTACGACCGTGTAGCAGCCATGGATTCTACGCTTGAATGGCATATTCTATGCGGGGTCGAATGTAGACCGACTTTGTCAAATACTTGCTTTAGCAAACCAATGTATTTTGCAGCGGTGCAGGAAAACCTGGAGCAGTTCATAGGACAACTTAGGTCGTCTTGATCATTAACACCGAGATCAATTCAAGCTTGTTCCCAAGTCATCTTCAATGATAGTCAGTCAGCTCTTTTTGACCCGACTTGAATGAAACCACAGAAAACTGTGTCTCCCTTCGTTGCTATCGAGTCTCAAAGAAACTGACTGACTACCATTGAAGAAAAAGTAAATAAAAATGAATGAGTAAACTTGATCATCTTCAGTGAGAGCTCGTTGGCACGAGGATTATGTATTCAAAACAAAGGGGTATAGAGTTCACATCACAAATAAGCTGGTTGATATGCATCGATTCTGAGCTTTGACATGAGAGAGACTCGAATCTAGTGCTTCTTTGGTTCGAATTTCCACTGCATAACCTGAGGATTTTGTGCGAAGAGTTTGACCTATCAAAATTTACATTAGATACGCGGAAACGAAGTTCTGTAATAAGAACTCGATCCAAGTAGGATGCATTTTAAAGGAACAGCTGCGAATCGCGAACTCAAAAGCTGAACTCTAGAGAGTTGGCACCAACGCGATTAATGTTTTACAAACAGCTTATTGAAACAATTGATATCCATATATATATATATATAT